AAAAAAAATAAAACAGGTTTTACAAATTAATTTTCAATTCTAACTGTAAATATATTTTTTCTATTCAGGACTTTTTGCTGCGAATAGTATTCATGATATAAAATCTTCAAGAAATCATTTAATGACTGGTGCAACTATTTCATCTCGATTTCGTAATAATAGTTTATCAAGTTTATTATTTCCTCCAACGGAACAAAAACAAGAAATTGAACAATATGATCCAATTGATGAACATAATAGTAGTAATCTCAATTCATCGAATAATTCACAATTAACATTAAATGTTCGAAGAAATGGTTTTCCACCAGCAACAATACTTCATCAAAAAATACGTTTACCAATAACAACAACAACTTGTCAATCTACTGAAAAAAAGTTTTTATCATCAAAATCAACAGATACTCCATCGCATGCGTCAGCAAGATTAAAATCTGAAATTGATTATCTTCGTAATAAATTACAAAAACATGAACAATCAAGTAAAAGTTTCCGTTTTCGAGATAATCGAGTAAGAAAAAACAACATATATCTCGATCATATCTAATTAAGCTACTCTTGAGACGAGTACACTAGAATTTTTAACAAATATTTGCTTTTCATATTGATTATTTCTTTTGTTCAAACAATTTATTCAATAGATCGAGTTCAAAATCCAATTGATTGATTGATTAAGAATATTTTTCTGATAAAACCCCTTGTTTTTCTAAGTAGGACAATTATTTTAATTTGTCTAGGATTTGGATGGTACTCGACATGGTACTGTTTCCTATTCAACATCTTGTCGTCTTCCATCTGCATCGACTATACTTACAGCTGATCGTATTCATAAACGTTTTTCATCGGCTGTAACACATAATACAACAAATACAAATATGATAAAACCTACAATAAATGATGCATCTACTCAAACGATGCCTATTCTTTCGAATATTATTACAACAATAAATCCACCAATTATTGAAACAGATGATAATCAATCAAATAGAGCAGATTATCAACCAACACATGCTTATCAAATTCCACAACAATCAAATGTTGGTAGCGAATGTGTATTTTTTACTGATTCATCTATGTTTTCATCAATCAAAACACGGTCAATTAAAACTGATCGTTATCATAATGATCTCAAAACAATTGCTTGTCCATTCTATGTGATGTATTTTACAAATTTAACGATGCAACAAGGACAAACTAAAGATAATAATAATGAGAATGAAATGGCATCATCGACAACGCGTAAAGTACCGGTTAATTCACGAACAAGTACAGCTTTTCCTCGACATCAATCAACTAGAAGACAAGTTAATAGTCAACTAAATCTAGATACTTATTTAACAATAGATGATAATGTTTATGTAACAGATTCAACTAAAATACCTTTAAATGAAAATTCATCTAAATTAAAAGATATTCTTCGAACTAAATCATGGAACCATGTAAGAGTATAAGAATATTGTATATTTTGCATTTTAAATTTGTTTTATTTCAAAAATAAGTTTCTTTTCTGTTTTTTTTTTACTTTCTAACATTTTCTATTATCAATATAAAAACTACATAATTATAATATAAATTTTTATTCTGTTTTGTTCTTCATGTTATAACGATTGAATTAATGCTGTTGAAGGTCTTGATAATGATGAACGATAATTATTCTGTTGATTTTGCATTTGTTGAGGAGATATATAACGTGGATTTACTGATATACTTGATCTTTCAGTTGCACTCATACGATATGACATTGTATTTTTATCATATTTTTGTCCTGTATAATTATTTCGAAATGATGATGTTGAACCTGTTTTATTTCGACAACAACAATTTAATAATGATGGTAAGAAATGTGTTGTTGATGCACATATCATGACAATCGATCGACGAAATTTGTCACTTGTTAATAAATATAAGAAAAAATTTGTTGCATGTTGTATATCACTTAATTGAAACATAATAACAGTTAATATTTTTAATCGCCGAAAACGTAACCATTCATCAAAGTCATTTCCTGATGGTGGTTGATTAAAATCATAAATAGAATCAAGTACAAAATAGATACTATTTGGTAATGTAACAAGAAGAAAAACAACAGCAACAGCAAGTAACATTAATGTTATATGGCGCTGTCTAGAGCGTATAACTTCGGTTTTTTGATTACTGCGCATTTCAATAGCTGGATTTTCACTTTTTCTCTGTTGTTGAATTTGTTTACTTAAACGTTTTTGATCATTAGCTAGAAATGAATAACCAAATTTGTTAGTATGTATCTTTTTCTTTTTTAGAGTGGAAAGAAATTAATGAAATGTCATCATGTAAAATAAACCCTTTAGGCTAAAAAGATCTTTATTTTTTATGCTTTCTAAATTGATAATCAAAATAAATACCATTTATTGTGTATGATTAAAAACACAATCATATGTAATAAGAAAGTCTATGACAATAGCTAAAGGCAATAAGAAAAACTAAATTTAGTCATAATAACAAAACTTTTTTGAATGAAAATAATAAGTCTAAATAAAGTTCGTGTCTAATAATAATAGATTTTTATGTGTTTTTTTTAGCATAATAAATTCTTATCTTTTCAAAACATGTCTATTTACAAAAACACCATTAAGGCGGAGTTATACATCTATTTATTGGAATGCCTAAAGGAATTTTTGTGTAATTAGAAACAATATCTTCTTCAGCCTACAAGTGTTGATTTCGAGGCTTCTTTTATAGATCAACTATCTTTATGTCTATATCTATATTCGTTAATATTATTCATTAGTGCACATTATTATTCTCATTATTATTATGATTATGATTATGATTATATTTTACAATCCATTTCATCTATAAATGATGTCTATATAAGAAAACAAAACTAAGATTTGTTTTTCTTACCCTTTTCACTGTTTAAACTTGTGTTTATTATATGTCGAATATTATGATGTGAATCTTGTCCTTTTTGACGTAATTTATATATAATTAAACCACTTAATGTTAATATAAGTATGAAAGGTACAAAACACCAAATAACAGAATCCAAATAACGCCATATTTTTTGTATGTTAGGGTAGCGTTCTATATCATACGCACAATAAGGTGTTTTATCATGGTTTAAACTATTAATAGTCCAAAAATGATGAAATGAGATGATACTTGTCATACCAAAAAGAAATATACAAACATATTTTGCTCGAGTTATTGTACAAAAATATGATACTTTGAGAGGAAACCAAACAGCAAAAAATTTATCAGCTGTCATAATAACAAGTATCCAAACATTAGTGTAACAAAAAACATATATAAGAAAATAAAGTATTTTGCACGATGCGGCATGTGCTACAATAAATGTTGGAAAATAGACGAGATTTTTTGTTAATAATACAAGAGGATCAAGAACACTGAGAGCCAACATGAAAAATGCTGTTGATGTTCCGCGCATATGACGACTTCGTAATGCAATAAATGACAGGCAATTACATATAAGTGACACAGGTAGAATAATTAATGGTAAACATATTCGTAATGTATCTTGTATCCATACTTCAGTCCAACATTCCGATATATTTGCGTAAGATGTTTCATTAGCTAGCAAAGAACGATTTCGACAAAAATCTGGTATATTACCCATCTAAAATATTGTTTATATTAGTAATTATGCGAAAACCAATATTTTATTGATTAGACTAATGTGACTAAAAGGTCAGAACAGCTATATATGCCAGAGTATTGTTATTCAAAGTTTTTAGGCTTTATACAGAAAGACAAAAAAGATAAAGAAATGTATGTTTGTTTCAATCAATACCTAAGGAAATATACATGTCATCATGAATATATTTGTATCAAATAAAGATTCTTTGACATGTATATTATTTCAATAACATATCTCTCATCTTGTTTTAGCATATGTTTTTCTCTTATTTTCATCAAAAAGAACTTTCCTTTGTTTTTCCCTTTTTATAATGGTCATTCGTATGGAAATAGACTAAAATAATAATCTGAATTTTTTCGATTATAAATGCAAAGAGCAATCATATATTTTGTTCTTCTCTTGAGATCAAAAAAGAGATAATTTAATGGGAACTACTTCATCTATAATTCTTTGCATCTAAATTATGGTGATTTATTTGACTGAAAAAATATATAGAAAGCTTTCAAGGGAATAAATATCATAAAATGAATAAACAGTTTAGGCTAATCTCAGGATGCTTTATGTAAGATTGAACTTATATTTAAATATATATATATATATATATATATCATATTATATTATTGGTTAGAAAAAACAACAATTTTATTTTCATCACTAATATATGATACTTTTCTAAATGATATATATTTCGATTAAATCAAGAATAAATTTCATTTTCTCCTAATGTAAATATATATATATATAATTTGATCATCATATATTTATGTATATATATATATATAGATACATGTATATATATATATTAGGTTTTCTCCTAATCTATTTCTCTTATGTTAGGTACAAAAATAGTCAGTTATATATTTCGAAAATAAAAAATAAAATCTTAATTAATAAACGAGAGATAAGCTAAAACTACTTCCTCTAGAAAGCGATAGTATTTTCTATGATATAATGAATGTGACACATATATAATAATTATAGATGTATATAGTAATTAAATTTTTTTATTACAAACTTTTATCTATTTTGAGAAGATAGATTGTAAAAAGTAAAGCTTCATTTGTTTTACCAGTTGTTTCTAGATATTGTATCAACATACATGGTCTAATGTGCAACTGATGTTAATAGTAATAGTTCTATAAGCACTTGTGACTTGTCTGTCAACGAGGATAGACTAATAGATATATCTCTTTATGTATTGAAGAGTTGAGAGAAACAAACGAAAGATAGGAACCATCAGAAGGAGAGAAAGATAGAGAGAAAGAGAAGAAGGAGGAAGGAAGGGTAAAGCGTTACAAGAGAGAGAGAGAGAGTAGAAAAACGCAGATCGTGAAAACGGAAATTGTCAACGACAATGTTCAACTTAGCAAAAATCAAATTAATACAAAATTATATATCTTATTCTCGTTCATATGCCTATATCGACATTGATCGAATGTATTTCTATATAGTACAACTCTAACATCTGGTACGCTCAGTTTCTATCTTTCATTATATTCTTCATCGGTCCGTAAATGCTAAAATGTCTGTGACAAGAAGATAAGTGGAAAGAAACGGACATTAGTAAAAAAAAAAGAAACTAATCGTTCGTAATATACAGAAAGATACTATTTACATGATTTTTTTTCATAAGAACCAATAGATTGTCAGAACACATAAAAATTAAATTATCAAATTCAACAGTTTTGAGTTGTTATTATTTGTCGGCACTTGATTAAATAAATAAAAAATTTAGCATAATATTTTGTTTTCTTTCTTTTTTAATGATAAATAGAATGAACTTTTTTTTTATCATTAAAATTTAGCAATATACAATAATTCAATTAGAAAAATAAACAATAGATTTTATACTGAAGAAGAAAAGAAAAAGTTTCTCTCTTCTTTTTATTCATACAAATTAATCAGATGTAACAATAGATTACGTACATAATTTAATCCATTTCTTCTGCTTAAAAGAGTGCAAATTTTTAAAATCTTTCTTTTCTTCATAGATGTATAAAAATAGCATTGTTCTAAGATTATTTTCGAAATCATTGGTATTCTTTCAACAATATATTTGTGACTAATAATTACGCTGATTACAAAACAGGAAATAAAGTTACAAAAACTTTGTTTCTTCTTGAATACTATATTCGAAGACAACTGATAATAATAGATATGATTTTCGTTTGTTTTACTGAGTTAAAAAGAAAACATTTCCGGATTATTATAACAGATCACCGTTGAAAGTTATTTATTAATCTAAGCGGATATTACTCATTCATTTTTTTTGCTGATTAGACGCTATAATAGTAGATTACTAAAGACAAATGTTATATCTCATAAGAAACCAAATTATTGATGATTTGTTAACAGGCTTAGTTAACTGTCATCGCCTTCGACATAACTAGTTTGTATTTTTTGTCTTTTCTTCAACCGATATTTTCGTCAAGGTTAATTATTCATGTATATCGGCTAATGGATCTTATATTTATTCAACTAAAAAAAAAAAATCACGACAAATATGTATATACAGATGAATATATTGAGAACATTGTTTCGAGAAAAACATATATATACTACACAAATGTAAGATAAAGAACGAAGACAAGAAAAACTGCTAGATTTCAATAATGACAACGACAAAAGAGAAAAAAAAATACTTCTGTTTTCCGATGTGAATCAAGCAACATCTGACAAAACATGTTTGATTTTGTTTTTTTGAATTCTCATATCGGACAAGAAAATAAATATGGTATAATTATACACCTGTATAAAGTTTTTCATATGGTGGAGGTGGATGTTCAGTATGATAATATTGATCTGATTGTGGTGGTGCACTTGGTTGAGGTAACATTGGACGACTTTCAGATATTTGCATATTCGCAGGATTCCATTGTTGAGGAGGGTGTTGTTGATAATATTGAGGTTGATAACCTGATGGACCTGTATGAACATAAATAGG